ACTTCTTTATTTACGTAATATTACAAAAATCAGAAACATTCCTTGTCACAGGACAGGATGCAGAAAACTCAGATCCATTGCATTTTGTTGATTTCTAGGCTGGGATTTACTGCAACTCTTTTATTAATCAGGTTGTTCCCCTTCTAGAAACACTGCCATTCTTTCTGAATGGCAGGGGCCTTACTGGTTGGGTTCTTATAGGTCTTTAAAAGCTAGGAACAGGAGGCCAGGAGCCTTTCAGCTACCAAGCTCTTGAGGTTTTGGGGGTCGGGGAACGGGACTTAGAAAGGCCACTATTTGTATTTGTATTTGTATTACTTATTAATCCCACACATGCGCGAAATTTCCCTTGCTCACAGCAAGCATTTTACGTGAAATAAAAAAATACAGATATTAAAAAAAACCTATGGTAAACGTTGCGTAAAGCTTGGTATGGTTGGTAATTTTGAAAAACAGAAAACTACAACATTGATCAGGTGTTTGTAGAGTTCTGACAGTTGGCAGGGATGGGAAAGACCTGCCGTAAATACCGCTCTCCTTCTTACACCATGGGGGTGTAACAGGTCTGCTGCTGGAAGAAGGACTACTCAGGACTCATCAGTGTTCTATGTGGTGGTTAAAATGGTGTTATCTCATGATGGATGTCATTCTTCACTAACCACCCCCCCCCCCCCACCCCCCCACCCCTCCCCTATTGGAGTCCAGACATGTGGGCTCTCTCGGTTATGAGTCTCCCTCGCCCCCCCCTTGTCAATACCCCTCCCCCTCCTCCCTTCCCATCTAGACTACCTCAACTAAAAGAAGGATGGCCCCAGAATGCCAACCACTCTCAGTAGCATAAAAAAGTCTTGGAGGAGAAAGCCCCCTGCCCCCCAGTAAGCCCCTCTTCAGGCTGAGGAGTGAGGTGGCCCCCTATGGGAATTGCGCTCCCCCCAGAAAATTATAGTTTGGAAGGTGTTGAAGTGGGAGCAAGTGGGTGGAGAGCAGGGAGTGGGAGGCCGGGAATCAAATCTGCTTGAAAAACATATTAAGTTTTATGTGGGGCCCAGTCCCTTGGTCCCCCCGCCACTAGGGGGTTTGGTTTTCTTTCCCACTCCTTTTCCATGGCCTGGGAGATGTTGCTGCAGGCACTTTCTCCAGACATCCGCCTGGCGTTGTTCTGTTCCAGCCGCTTCTCCAGTCTTTCCTCCTGTAGCTGTCCTTCCTGATCTTTTGCCAGAGTTCCTTCTGGGCAGCTCCTCTTTGTCCCCCGACCTAAAGACCCTCTTCTTCTCATTCAGCAGGGCCTTAATCTCTATACAAGTACAGGTACATTTACTGTTTCCTGAACCTTCAATTTTCAAACCCCAGATGAAGTAGGTAATGGCCAATTGAATGGACTCCCTTCTTTACTCAATTGCTTGTCTATCCCTCAAATTCCACCACTTCATTGAAAAAGTATCAACAACATAATCACTAATTATCAGCCCAAATCACACTACAGTTTCATTAAAAACATACAGGTAATTTGTAATTTCACCTGTGTTGATTGTAAAATTGACAGAATACAGGCTGATGAAGGCTGTGTTGCCTCAAACTTATACAAATAAACAAATAACGTTAATGTTAGGCTAATACTAGGCTAACGTTAGCTGACATTAATTTCTCTGTCCAGTTCAAGACACCAAGATTATTTTTAATGTTGAACAAATAAAAGCTGACTCTCATTCAGTAACTCTGGTTGTTGTCCGTCTCATCCTTAAGTTGTGTCCTCGAAATCCAGTCCTTGGTCATCCAATCTGGTGGGTGGCAGTGTCACAAAAAAGGGTCTTACAAATGTGGTCTGAGGATTGTGGTCCTGATTCCTGAGTGCATATTTAAGTGCAGCCTCTGGTACTGCAGCTACATGCTATAAGCAGATGGGACATGGGCCAAACAAAAAAATCAAAGTCAAATACATTTTTACCAAAGACATTTTAGGTAGTTCTTTTGTCTTTTGTAGGTATTTTGTTGGCCATGACATACCGCCAAGTATTACGATCCAAACAAACCCAATTAAAAGAGGATTTAATTGGTGCTCCTCTATTCTAGTCTAGAGAACCCTGGATGAGTGCCTCTGAGTTGAAACTCAAAAGTTAAAAGCAATATGTGTGAAATTCAGTTTCAAACCATTAGATTCATTTTCAAACTGTAAAAATACAATTTCAAATTTTGCATACAATATTCAGTTGGACTATTTTAAATTCGAAGCTATTAAATTCCGTTTAATAGATAATATAAGATAACTCCATATTATGGGACCACCATCTCAATAGGGTGTGCCAAAATTAGCAGTGACCAAGCTATAGAGACACATCTTGTCTCCACTAAATCAGTTAAGTAAGTAGCGAGTAGACACTGACAGATACTGAAAAGTGACCCTCAGATTGCTAGTTCATGTATTGTGAAGTCGGATTCTCCTAAGAGGCCCATTCATTTGTCTCAGATCACTAGTGGGAATCATCCTTGACATGATTGTATACACTCTTATACTGTCATTAAAGCTGCAGTAGGACATTTTTATAAAAAATATTTTCTGTCATATTTGCTGACACTTTTTCTGAATGCGGACAGTAAACCAGGATCTGTGAACATAAGTGTTCTATTCGTAATCATGATGTTAAATCATCAGTGGCTAGACACTTATAATAGTATAATAACAGTCATAACCACAACGTGAACTACATTACATGGGCATTGAGAGAGTGAAGCTGCCACAGAGAGGTGGAAATGGGGACAGAATCCTTCTCCAAAGAGAGAGGTAGTGGATACCCTTCCTTGATATGCTCATCCCCAATGGTATAAATGAGGAGATTTCCTTAGTTTGTTTTTTTATGAAATATTTCTTGTCATGTCATTTGAGGTGTGTTGGAGATTTTTTTTGCATTTTATATCAGTGACTGGAAAAGTTGTAGCTCCCTCTGTTGGGATGTACTTGTAGTGCTGGCTGTGGTAACCTATAGTTTATCCCACCTGTGTATGTTTATTGTGAAATTACCAGAATACATGCTGAACAACAGTGTCTTGATCATGTGTCATCAGATGCCCAAAATACAGACACCTCCACAGCCAAGAAACTTCTGGATGACAAATAATGCTCCCTCCTGCTCCTGTCTTCCAGCTACAAAGGTAGGCTTTTTTCCTCCACAATTAATACAAGACATTTTATGTATTTCACTTAAAACAAGAAAACATGTATTTTATATTATAAATGACTAAGAAGTGTACTGAAAAGTCCAAAAAAAATTATAATTATGGCTTCTTCCTACAAACATTGCAACTGTCATAATAAGGACATTTGTGACATACCAATGTATGTCTCATCTACCCCTCTTCAGTTTTGGACCTCTTTGGACCCTGGATCAGCAACCTCAGATCATCTCTGCCCAGCTCAGCCCCTTACCACATTCCCCTCACTCATTCTCATACTTGGTTTTACAATAAATGCCCTAGTACTTCACTATTGCCTCCCTTCTCTGTGTCGCACCTGGTTTCACTACGTAACCACCCCGTAACAAATGTGAAGGAGTTCCAGCAAAAGATGTTGAAGAAACTCTTTTTGTGGGTGTAAGAAGACAAACAGGATTAATTAAATGCAATAAAAAAAATATAATAACCATCTTCACTCCACATCACCATTAGACACCTGAAGAGCCACAGATTCAAGAGCCACACAGAAGGAGAGATCAACATATATGTGAGGCCATAGTCAGAATAATTGCAGGTACAACACATTACCAAGAAATCACCAGTGCACCATGGGTCTCACATTTCTGGCCTACCACAATGAAGGGTTACAGATCAACACAACCTACCTTGACAGATTGCTTAAACAGAGAGATTCCCTATGTTGGTATCTAAAATGTGCTTCTGTTAGAGAAAGTTATACATAGATGACCACCTGACAATAGAGGAAATGCCACAGCAAGTTCTAACAGACATTAATGTCTACAATGTGCATGTCTTTTTTGAGGTGTGGATACCTGAAAGCCCAGGAGGAAAACCCTGGCGGTTGGTTGTCTCTTGGCACACAGCTTGAGTGTCTGTCAACAAATGTTAGCAATACTTTACTCATTGTGTCTCCCGAGTGTATTGCAGTGTTTTGTAACAGACCAGGGCCATATGGTGTCATGTGCTTAAGTGCATCCTCGTTTACCTTACTTGCATCTTTTTCACCTGACGCAAGATGCTCACTTGTTTGAGCCTGGAATGTCTTATGTGGCCCTCAGCCACACAACCTGACTTCATGGACTGTACATTACTCACTTAAATGAAAAGAAAATTTATGCTGACCCTGAAATCACATCTGAATTGCAAAGTATAAGAAAAGCTAAGACCATTGTTGGAACATCTGAAATTAGCAGACCAAGTGGCCCAACATTTCACAATTATCCACCACAACACACTAGGACTTCCAAGTCACATTGAGGACTTGAGGTAAATTGAGACTTGCTGGGGCGCCTGGATGTCTCACCTGGTAGAGCCATGTAGCAAGGCTAAGTCCTTGCTGCAGCGGCCCAGGGTGTGTCATCCCCTGTGTCTACCCCTTCCCTATCACTGTCCTGTCACTATCCATTAAAGGCAATAAAAGCTGCAAAAAATACATAAAAAAAATAATTTAAAGAATAGAGACTTGCTGATGTTTCATGCATAACACAAAACACATTTTTCTGGATCATTTGTTTCCCCACACTCTCAGTTGGAAGGATACAAGTTGTTTTGATACAGCAGACAAGTAATCTACTCAAGTATCCTACGAAAAAAGATGGAGGTGCTGTTGCAATACATCGCAAGAGCCACATTAGCCAGGATGTACTTTCAAAATGTGACTGATGTTGAGTTTTTACTCGTCAAAGTTATGCCCCAGTAAAAGCAC